TTCAGGGACAGATAACCAGAGTTAAAGCTGGAAATCAGAGAAGCAAAATGGCCAGTTCTCATCTCTACCAATGCTCACACCAAAGGGGAGATCCTGCCTTCTGATTGCATCTCCAAACTGACCTGTTTCTTAGACTGCATCTGTCTTCACCAAACCTCAGACTTCCCTGAGCTCTTGTCTCCTCCCACTTTGTATTCCTCTCTAGTGCTGGGATTAATAGTGTGGGGTCCCAGTTGCTGAGATCACCTTTGTATGAGCTCTGTTTCTCTTTTAGACTGGATTGTTTTGGTGGAGCTCAGAGTGGCCTTGAACTAACAAATCTGTCTGCCTCTGTCTCTGGAGTCCTGGGATTAAAGGTGTGTACCACCACTGCCTGACCTTGGGTTTCCCCCCTACATCAATTAGCAATCAAGAAAATGTCCCAGGCTGGAGAGATGGTTCAGTAATTAAGAGCACTGGCTGCTCTTCTAGAGGTCCTGAGTTCAATTCCCAGCAACTACATGGTGGCTCACAACCATCTGTAATTAGAGAAGGAAGGAAGGAAGGAAGGAAGGAAGGAAGGAAGGAAGGTAAGAAAATGTCCCTATGGACATGCCCACAGATCAGTCTCATCAGGGCAGTCCCCCCAATTTAGACTCCCTCAGATAACTCTGGGCTGTCAGTTGATAGATGAAGCTAACTAGGAGACTGAACTTGAACTCTACTGTGTTGGCTAGGCTGTCTGACCAACCTCCACGATCTACCTTGTCCCCCCACCCTTGCACTGGAGTTAGGAGTGTGGTAGCTGCCATGCCTGGCTCTCTGTAGGTGCTGGGGTCCCAAGTTCAGGTTATCATAATTAGTATCCACTGAGCCATCATATGCCCAGCCCTTACTAGACTATTTTAAGGACATATTTAGAATAATTTTTAATAGTGGTGATTATTTGACACCTATAAAAATGTAATTTTAAGAATATATGTACATAAATTATCAGAAATGCTCACAAAATATTCAGTGATTGTGAGCTTTGTTTTCAGAAAAAAAAAATCTCTGCTTCCCCCAGCTCAGCATAGCATTTTAATTTTTGCTTCTGTGATCAAGTATTATATAATTCTACATATCTTCAACTGTTGTTAGTGTTTGGTTTCCCCACTACTGCATATTGAAGCCATTATCCAATATTCATGAATTCATTGTTCATAGCGGCTTTACTCATAACCACCATAGAAAGAAATAAAAGAAACAATGAAAAGATAAAACAAAAATGGCAGAACACATGCCATGGAATAATACTCAGCCTTAACAAAGGAGGAAATGCTGACGCATGTTGTAACATGGATGAAACTCAACTGTAATGTGCTAAATGAGATTAGCTATTCACAAAGTAGACAGGAAGATTTGAGTCCATTTGACTAGAATACTTGATATAGCCCCATTCATAGAGACAGGGAATGGAATTGGAGGGGACAGGTAGTGAATTACACCCGGAAGAATCTCCAGGGCAACCACGAGCTGCTATGCAAGAGAAGCATCCCCTTCCACCATGGCCCATTGTATCCTTTTAGCACAACATCCATGAGGAACCTTATGACATTCCCTTGAAGTCTCATGAGCCTCTCTGTCCCTCCCATGAGGAAATGTCAACAGGTCAGAGTTCATGGGAGTCATGCGTGATCACAGCTCATGCCTAACTTGGAGGGGACACCGCAAACAATGAGAAAGCAGGAATAACGAGTGGAGGTCAGGGCTTCCCGACAATATAGGGTTTGGCTTTAATTTTTTTAAAAACTTGATTATTGTGCCTGATGTGGGTGCACACATGCTTGCACGGAGATCAGAGGACAACTCTGTGGAGTCTGTTCTTTCCTTCCACCTGTAAGTATGTTCCAGGCATTGATGTCAGGTCACTGGGATTAAACTCACATTGTCAGTCTTGCCTTTTAAGTACATTTACTTACTGAGCTGTCTTGACAGCTGGGGTATGGCTGACAGAGGAGCCTCGCAGAGTTTGAACAGAACAGACCTGATCTGACATGCTTAGAAAGAATCACTTTGGTGATCCCCACTGAGAAGTTAGGGCACAGATGAAGAAGGCATGAAGAGGGCACAGAGCAGGGTGAGGGGTAGAAGGAGTGATAAAGAACAGAGAGTCTCAATAAAATGTCAAAGTGTAGCCAAGACAGTTGCTGAGGACTGGATACAGTCAGAGCAAGAGAACTGACTTTGATTTGAGTCTGCAGCAGTGATTCTGGTGTACAGTACAAGTCCCTTTGGCACTGTCTATATAAGTGACCTCGAAGATTAATGTGCCCATTTTCCTGTAAGATACACTGACAAGTGTATAAGCCACCTGACCTATGTGACCAAGAAAAGCCACTCTACAGTACTCCTTCATTGTGCTATGCTGACTCCTGTTTCCATCAAATGAGTTGTCTGATACCAAGAGTTACTAAACCTCTATGTTCTGTTTTTCCTTTTATTAAGCTGAAGAGCTGGAGAGACAGCTCAGGAGGTAAGAACACAAGCATGAGGATTCAAGTTTGAAAACCTGGACTCAGGCCTAGCCGTGCATGCCTATAACTTCATCATTGTGGGGATAAGACAGCCAGGAGAGCTCCCTAGCTAAAATGGTGACCTTCTGATTCAGTGACAAACTGTCTTAAAGTGATGAGAAGAAGGGTGGTAGATGAAGAAGACACCCAGTGTCCTGGCCTCTGTATGTGTGTATGGGCACACATACCTGCACACTGATCTACATTCACCATACACAAAAATACACAGAAACACAC